CCCCAGCCCGGCGGGGAGCTCGCTGCAGCTTGCAAGGTCACTTGTTTTAAATATTGGACTTCTTTAAATACAAATAATAGTACCAATTTCTGGCGGATAAAAGTAGCCAATACTGGAAATTAACTGATCTGGGTGTAGATATCATGTATCTATATCGATATATATTTATGCTTTAGGAAAAAAAAACACAACTTGGGTTAAATATCTTCTCGAAACCTGTAGCTTCCTCCACAGTGTGTCTGGTCAACAAAAAAAAAATCAAAGACTCAGTTAAACCCTTCAAGGCCTGGGGGGGTCTCCTCTCCCCTTCCATCCGGCACAGCCAGCAGGGAAGGGAGGTGAGCTCTGTACCCGTCACCCTGTGCCTGCCCCCCATAAAGTGTCCCCGCGACAGTCACCAGAGGTGGCTGCCTGCAGGTGGGACCATTTAACAAAAATAAACGACTTTTTAATACTGCCCTGCCCTAAGTGGGGGGAAATCTCTGCACACCGACGGTACCTGAGGGAAAGGCTCAGCCTTCTCCCCCCCATAATGCTGGGAACCCCCCGTGGGGAGGTCAGCAGGTCTGTGGGGGCAGCACAGCCCCAGCCCTGGGAGCTCCCAGAAGCAGCAGCTCCTGAGGCTCCAGGTCTGCACGGCGGGCACAGCCCACCCTTCAGCAAACCCCTTCCCGGGCACCCTCCAAGGCAGCACTTCCCAGCACGGCGCCTCTTACTTGACGGTGGGGTGCACCCTGTTCTTGGCCCGGAGGGGCCTTTTCTTCTTCACGGCCGGAGCTCCGGCCACGCAGGGTTTGTGCGGGGGCAGCACGGAAGCTGCCACGCTGAGGCCTCTGCTGGCTCGGAGAAGCCGGCTGGGCACGGAGCCCCTGCTGCCCGGCGGGGCGGCAGGAGAGTGGGAGGACCCTGGGGGGTCCCGCGGGGGCTGCAGGGCTGTGTCGGAGGAGATCTCGGCGAGGGGTCCCTGCTGGGCGCTGCCTGCGCCGTACCTGCTGAGGACATCCCCCCGGGGGCCCTTCCCGCGGCCCCGGGAGCCCTGCAGCTGGTGCTCGATGCGGTACAGGTCCTCCGTCACCTGGTTGACCCGGTCGAACTGGGCCAGCAGCATCTCGAAGAGGGAAAGGAGGCGCTGGATGTCAGCGTCCACTTCCAGGCTGTCCCGGGTGCTCAGCACCAGGCTCAGCCCGTCCAGCTGGCTGGAGGAGGTGGAAGCCCTGGAGCTGTCAGAGGCAGCGCTGGGAGTGGGGCCTCGGAAGGACTTGGAGTCGCTGGAGCCGGGACGGCAGCGGCTCCATCCCTTCGAACCTCACCTTGTGCCGGAACTGGAAGAGAAGAGGGAGCAGAGTTATTTTGGGAGCTGCTAAGTGGGAATGCTGTGCTACGGCACCGTGCCCTGCTCCAGCCAGCCCCAGGGCTGCTCCCAGGCACGCCTGGCAGACCAGGCCACAGCACAGACCTGGGGACAGATCCCAGTTAAAACACATGACACTGTGGGACTGAGAACTGCCAGCAGATGCTCCTACAATGTCCCAACACTAACCCAGCTCTTGGGCATCCAGGAACAGCCACTGCTCCTCATCTGCCAGAGGGACTGGACTGGGAACAGCAGTGGGAAGCAGCCAGAGGCAAAGGATGGTGGGTGTTGTCTCTCTGCACAGGTCTGCAGCCCCCTGCCTGCTACCAGACCCCTTCTCCAGGGAGCCTCCCAGGCTGCACTCACCTCCTTGGCTTTGCTGAAGCCCATCCACATCTTCAGCCTGCGCACAAAGAGCTCCACCATCTCGTAGTCCTGCGGCTCGAAGGCCGGGCGGTACAGCTCGAAGTGCATCTCCCGGTAGCTGTAGATGAGCACCACAGTGAAGAGCCTCAGCACGATCCACAGCTCCAGGATGATGTAGCTGGTGTAGAACAAGCAGTAAAAGCCCGAGGCCTGGGGCAGGCAGGGCCGGAGGCTCAGGCTGCCCCGCAGCACGGAGAAGAGCTGCAGGAGGCTGCTGCCAACGCTGCGGAAGGGCTCCGAGGAGGAGGAGAAGAGCTGCAAAGGGGACATTGGAGAGTTCATGAGAAGGGATCCATGATAAAACCTACCCCTGACTTCCAATACTCTACTTCATCTTAGAAAGCATAAGCCCTAAGGAGTGGCCCGTGAATCAGCTGTGACAGGGACAGACAACAGGGCCAAAGCCCAGAGCACCCCGTGCAGGATGTGTGTGGAGCACCCAGAGCTGCTGGGCTTTGCTCACAGTTGTTGGTCAGGGGGGGACAAGGGACAACAGGACCAGGGGCTTGTGACAAGCAGGGCTCTGCAAGGCCGGGCGGGGGCAGCAGGTGGTTACCAGGAAGCCGAGCTGAGCGTAGGCCAGGATGAGGAGAGTGAAGGCCAGTCCCGCAGCCACCAGCTCCTTCGCAGCCTTCTGAAGGGTCTTCCCAAACACTGACCACTGCCTGACAAAGCGCAGCTGCCGGGCAGCCTAGGAGCAGGAGAGAGGACAGTGTCACACCACAGGACCACTGCAGAGGGGCTGCGAGACCCTTCTGGTCCATAGAAGGGTCTTTCAAACATCTCAAGCATCATTCCAAACATCTCAAACAAGTCTGAGAAATGCGAAGTCAGGCAGAACAGAGGACATCCTTGTCAACGGGCTTCTCACAGACAAAACCATCCCATCATCCACACTAGGCTGGTCTCCTCAAGGGAACAAAGGGCCCACCACCTCCATCCTGCAGTACAGGCTGGATAGGGCATCAGCCTCGTTGTGTTTGATCAGTACTGGACACAGCAAGACCAGAGCACTGTTCTTGTTTTTACTTCAGGGTCCTTTGCCACCCCTGCCCTGGGACTGTGCCTGGATGATAAGCTGGCATAGGACAAAGCACACATCCCTGCCCCTACGCTGCTCCCACCCAGCTCCCTCCATACCTGCACAGTCAGGAGGAAGAGGAGGGATGCAGCCAAGGTGCTGAAGATGGTGTTGAGAAAGGCCACCTGGTAGAAGTTGGTGAAGCCCTTGCGGTTGTTGAGGTACTTGAGCCACTGCTGGTCAGCAAGGGTGGCTTGGCTGAGGTGCACCACCACAGTGCACGTGGTGAGCAGGATGAAAACCCACTGGCCATAGTTGCCCCACAGGGTGAAGTAGGCTCTGCCCTCCTTCTTGATGGACAGTGACTCAGACACCACGAAGTAGACCACAAACATCATGAGGAAGACCTGGGGGAGGAACAGAGAGGTCACCAGGGGAGGAAGGCAATGCTTGACTGCTCTGGTGCACAGGGGGACCCTGCAGCACCCCAGGACACCAAAAGCCCCATGGAGGAGGCCGAGTTCTGCCAGCCCACAGTAGGAGCACACTTGCCCCAGTCCTTGCTCACTCAGTGCCTGCTCCCTCCTGCCCCTGCAGTGAAGACCCCAACACATCCAATGCACTTGTGGCAGGGTGGCAGTGCCCATAGGAAGGGGACACTGGCTGATGTCCTCGCTGAGGACAGAAGAACAAAAGCCTCAAGATTCCAGAGCAACACAGATGAGTTCAAGGAAGCAACAAGGCTGAGACAAGACCAAAAACTGCTGTCAGGCAGGAGGAATCTCCTTCCCCTCAGTGGTGCCAGGACAGAGTGGTGATAGGCATGGGGACAAGTGGCCTCAGGCAGGGGAGCTTTAGTGCACAGCGACCAAGACTGCTCTTCTGGGAGCCCAGGAGATGGTTCCCAGAGCCCTGTGTGCCATGACCAAGAGGGAGGTGGAGCCCAGAGGGAAGTAACAGACTGACCATCATGAGAAGCTGCAGAGTGACCCCCCCGCTGAGGCGCAGCAGCGGGAAGGGGCTGATGGTGATGGTGGTGATGGCCTGGCCAGCCCCCAGGAACTCCAGCTGGAGGGTGATGGCAGCGTGCAGGTCCACGCTGGGGTTGTACTGCATCAGCTCCACAAAGACTGCCCGGCTCCTGTGGAGGGGAGAACAGCTCAGGGCACTGAGACATCATCAACTCTGGGCTTTGGTGCCGCTGTTTGGTAGGATCATGGATCCTCTCCCCTTGTGACACCCCAGCAGCAGCCCTCCAGAACCTGGGTGGCAGCAGAGCATCTCCTTCACCCCTGCCACACTCACATGTTGTCAATCCAAGTGTGCTGCTGCAGGAAGTCCAGCTGAGCCCTGCTTTCCTCCAGAGAAGCCCCCAGCTCCTGGACGTAACCGCTGCTATCGTAGAAAGAGATGTAACCCCAGTACCAGACCCTGCAGAGGAGAAGCAGCCAAGGGGTAAGAGCTGAAGGACAGAGCAGCCACTGGTCAGCTCTCTTACGTGGCAGCCGAGGAGCAAGTGTGCAGGTGCAGCCCCTGAACCCTACACTGCACAGCCAAGGGTGACAGCTGCTTCATTAATTACTTCACAAGACAAATTAGAGAAGTGCATTGATCCACCTCGATGTTCCCAACCTCTGAGTAGCCCCCAGCCCTGTGGTGCCCCAGACTTCAATAAACACACATCCAGGGAGAAACAAGAGCAGAAACCAACAGTGATCTCAGGCCCAGTATGCTGGTAAAGGCCAATCTGCCACAACTCTTGAACAGCAAGCCAGTGCTGCTCTGTGGTCAGCTGTGTCACCTTCTTCTGCAGCTTGTCTCTATCCTTGAAGCCAGAGTTGAACCCTCTGGCCCTGAGAACACTCCACTGCTGTACAGTCTGAGATGACAGGCACATCTCCAGGGAAGCTGGGTGAGCCCCCCCACCACTCCCACCACCCTTGTGGATGTGTTCAGGGAAGGCCTTGGGCCCTTCTGTATTAATTTGTGCCTTGCCAGGTTCAGGGGCTGCGCTGGCCTGGCCGTGGGGAGGGCTGGGACCCTCCTGAGGACCCTCCTGGAGATGACTTGGTGTCTGGAGCAGGGGGGGCAGGTGGGCAGCTCCTTACCCCGTCAGGTCGGGCGGTGAGTAGGCCCAGGCAGCCGTCCCGTTCCCAGCCTGGCCCCAGCCAGCTGCCCAGTCAGCGGTGGAGAAGCCCTGGGGGTGGGAGCAGCTCCTGCTGGCAGCCAAGCCCAGCCCACGCAGGACACCCTGGGCACTGAGCTGGCACTCGGCTGCAATGAGACCAACACTGTCACCCCCAGAGTGCTGGGCACATAGCCCAGCCTTCACACCCAGCATCTCCCTTCTCCCCCAGCCACCTCTGCACCTCCTCAGTCCCACCCTCCAGAAGTCAAGCCAACCTCACTCCTGAGTGCAAATCCCCCTGATCCACTGCCCCAGCTCATCTCTGCAGGAGCAGAACCAGGGGCTCACTGATGCAAAGAAAAACCTGCCACCGTAACCTCTGCCTTGCTTCATTCAGCTCCATCCAGACCTGGCCACATCATCCCTGCAGGAATGTCCCCCAGCCCTGGACAGCAGACCCTGCCCACCTACAGGAATGTCCCCCAGCCCTGGACAGCAGACCCTGCCCACCTACAGGAATGTCCCCCAGCCCTGGACAGCAGACCCTGCCCACCTACAGGAATGTCCCCCAGCCCTGGACAGCAGACCCTGCCCACCTACAGGAAAGTCCCCCAGCCCTGGACAGCAGAGCCCTGCCCACCTACAGGAATGTCGCCCAGCCCAGGACAGCAGACCCTGCCCACCTACCTCCCTGCAGCCGCAGCTGGCGCAGCCGGGCCGTGCCCAGGGTGGTGCTGCAGCTCTCCTGGCCCGAGCGGTTGTTGTAGAGGTAGGGCAGGAAAACCTGGGACATCCACACCCAGAACTGATCCGACCTGCGGCGGGGAGAAGGTGTGAGCAGCAGAGCTCCCAGGCAGCTCTACCAGGGCAGCAGCTTCTGCCTGTCTCACCCCTGACCATCTGGGGACGGAGTTTTGGAGCTGAGCTGGGCTGCTCTCCTCCTCCAGCAGGCAGAGGCACCACTTCCAACCATTCCACCAGCTGAGCTGGAGTGTGGGAAATGCTTATGTGACATGCAAGACCTAAAGGTGATTAAATCCACCTGGCAGCAGGATGAGGATCAGACCTGTGGGTCTGTGGCAGCACAGTGGAAGAGAGATGCTATTTACCTGCTCTCCCTCTTTACATCACTTGCACTCCAGAAACTCCAGTGAGTTCACTGGAATCATTCCTGACTCATATTGAAGTGAACAGAAGTTTCTGTGACTGTGGCACGGACAAGTCTGTTTGCACAGAAGGATCAAGGGATCTCTAGTGAGATGGGTACAAGGCACAATGAATCCCAGGCACTGTTCCAAGGTCAGGCAGGACTGCTGGAGTGTGCAGCCCGGGAAAAACTCAGCTGGGAAAACCTCAACTAGTTCAACCACACGTGCAGAGCAAGGCAGGGAGGTCTCTGCATCTAACCAAGATAGTTAGTTTTGGTTCTCATGACACTTCATGGCTAAGCCCTAACAGTTGTAAATTCTGGAGACAGAGCAAACTGGTGTCCTTTAGGCCAGAGAGAGATGAACACCTAGAACTGACACAGTCTCTTCCCACTGAGGAAGTAATCAAAATGCAAAGAAATTAAATCTCTCAACCTCCCCAGGTTTCTCTGCTCTCCAGGGGTGGAGAGCCACAGGGACAAAGAGGGACCTGCTCACTGCCAGAGAAACCAGTGTTCCCAGGGGACTTGGGAGTCTCTTACAAGAGTGAGCGTGGAGCAGGAGCCCAGCATCCAGCCCCAGACTCCTGGCTGCAGCCCTGCACAGCTGCTTTGCTACAGAGCAACATCTAGCTCCTCCCCAGCCCCAGGACCTTCACAGTTACCTCTTGATGCGGAGGAACTCGCTGCTGCCCAGCTGCTGCTTGATGGAGCTCTGCAGGAGGAAGGCCCTGCTGCTGCGGGAGGCATCTCCGTAGTTGGTGAGCAGGATCACCAGCAAGAACATCATGTAGATGAGGAAATTCTGGCAAGCAGAGAGTAGGATGGGATTGCACCCAAACACCTGAGGGGGGTTTGTTCCCTATCCTGCACCAAACTGGTGTTTTCCACTGCAGGATCAGGACCCAGAGCACACTCTTCTTTCTTCTTCCATATGGGAAGAAGTTTACAATGAAACTCAGAGCACAGGCTCAGAACAACATTCTCTGTTCAACAGGATCAGCCCAGCCCCATGTTTCAGTAGCCATGAGATGCACAAGCTCCCTGTGGGCTCCTGCAGGCAGGCAGCTCAGCTGGTACCACCACTCTGGGGGTTTCCATCCCTTACAGGGAAATGGACCAGTTAAAAATAACTTGACTGGGTCAGAGCAGCTGTGAATTCCCAGCACAAGTGTGGAGGGTTAGCTGTGAATGAGCTACAAAGAGATGGAAACTTCTCCTAGAGGGGGAGGCTTGTGTTTCACAGGACTCAACTAATGAATGTTCTTGTGCAAGTTGGAGTCTACTCCACACTGCAAACTCTGCCCTGATCTCAAACACCTGAGTGATGGAGTCAAACAAACCAGCTGCTCCAGATCAACCCTCTTAGGGTTCTGCTTTCCAGCCACCTCAGATCTCACAGCTTTACAGAAAAGATAAATGTTCCTGCCAGTCTTTTACAGATGGGGAAGCTGAGGCACCTATTAGCTGAGGAGCTCACAGCTGGATTTGGAGGACCCACACAGGATTTACTTTGGCTCCCAGAGCTAGCACTCTGCCACTGCCCTGGGCCCCAGAGGCATCAGGAGGTGTCTTACCTTCAGCATCCTGTGTAGCAGTTTGACCTTCCTGGCCTCCTCCTTGGCCTGGAAAAGGGCAAACCCCTGTGGGGGTCGGACTTTGCTGATCTTCTCAGAAACATGCTCAACAAGTGGGTGCTCCACCAAGGTGTCATCTTCCTCGGGGTGCAAGCGCTTGGCAACCAGTGAGAAATAGAGAGCTTCCAGCAGAACCTGAGGGCAAGGATGTGGTGGGGAGACCTGTGCCACCAGACACAGGCAGCAGCTCCGTGGGCTCCTCAGCACAGGGATCAAGCAGGGCACCAAGGCTGAGGACTCTCTCAGAGCAACTACAGGACCTTGAAAACAAATTGCCCCCAGCCCTGCCCCTCCTGCTGTGCTCATCTTTCCCCTCCTGCAGGGACACCAAGAGGGGGGAGAGTATCCAACCCACTCAGCATCCAGCATGACTGGATGAATACCTGGACAAGATGTTAATTACAGCTAATCCACAGATACAGTACTCATGTTATCCTCACCTTCAGGGGCTCCCAGACCAAGAAGGATGCCAGGAAGCTGAATATCCCTGAGATGAGCCACATGAGGGCAACGCTGGAGGAGAAGCCCACCCCAATCCATACGGAGACCCCTGTGGAGGTGGCGAAGAGGAGGAGACTGATACCATGAGCCAGGGAGGAGCACCAGGGTGGCAGCAGGCGCTTCCGAAACGTTTGGTCTGCAACTGGAAGCAAGAGGGAAAACAGGAGTAAACGTTACTGCAAAAGGGTCCCAGTGGGCACAGGAAGGGCCGAGCACACCCCCCAGCATCTCTGTGCACACGATGGCACAAAGACACCACAACCAATTGTTGACAAAGACAAAATGATGGATTTTAACAGACCCAAGAGGACAATAGCTGCTGTGTCCTGTTTTCTGTGCTGCAACCTGCCCCAGGAAGGCTGTGCCTTTAGAAGCCAAGAGCTCATGCCAAGAGAATTGATGCCGAGCTTCTCCACAGGACACCCAGACACTCATCAGACCCACTTACCACCCCCAGGCCTCACGGGCCCTGGCAGCCTGTCCCCTGCCCCTGCAAGCCCTGCTGGCATGACCAAGCAGGAAACATCTGTTCTCTTTGCTTTGCTGATTTGAACTTCCCTTGCCATCTGGCTCCCCTTGCCCCTGATTCTGTACAGAGACTCTCCCAGGGACCCAGGGCTGCTGAGGTTCAGGCTCCATGAGAAAACATCAGGAAATAACAAATGCATCCCAAGCAGGAGAGCTTTTCCTAAGGCTCCTTTTCCATTTACCCACCTGTGCCTCCCAAGCTCTACTCTGTGCCACGACTCCTCTTCCCACACATCCCCACCCTGGCACAGCCCTGCAGGCCTCCTACCTGTCCACGTGGACTTGGCTGATCTGCTCACTTCCCTGGGGGGAGCTGCCATGCTCTGGCCTTTGTCATTCAGCTTCTGCATCATGACAGTCTCCACTTTCTCCCCGAACACGCTGGACCTGCCGAGGCAGAGGGGTGACCCTGGAGAGCCCTGTCCCATGGGAATCTGGCACTGAACTCCAGTGCTAACACTGGTGCACCAGCCCCAGCCAGTCATGGAATTTCCTTCTGGAGCAGCGGGCCCTGCCTGCCGAGGCAGGCAGGTGCTCTGGGGGTCATGGAGGGCTGGAAGTCTTTCCCCCCCCCTTTCCCTGCTGCTTTGCACTGGCCACCCAGCTGGGTGGTGCTCAGGGTCCCACAGCAGGGTGCTCAGGGCATGATAACACAACACAGACCCAACCACTTTGCTCCCTCCTGTCAGAGAACCCATGTCCCAGCACTTGGTCAGCAGCCCACAAAGCTCTGGAGATACATCTTCAGCCAGGGCTTTAAGGGGATATTCCGGGTGGCTCGTGGAAGGGCAGCAGTGCCCTCCTGGAGCTCTGGCTTAGGGGGCTGCAGGAATCACAGCCAGCAAAAACACACTGACTGGTGACAGGGCTGACCCCAAGGTCTGAAGTGTCCCAATGCCCAGCTCAGCTCACTGTGGCTGGTGCGACCAGCTGCTGCAGAGCCAGGTGGGAGGGCAAGGGACAGGAGGCACTGGCTCAGTGGGGAACTCTGCTCCCCAAATACTCACAGGCCTGAGATGAGATCTGTTTCAGCCCTCATGTACGGCCCCAGGTCCTGGGAGTGGGAGATGCCACTGGCTCCATCTGCCAGGATCTGCCGGATCAGATCCTCATCTGGGGAAGAGAGTGGGCACATCAGGATTTCTGCTGTCCCAGACTGAAATCCTCATTAAGAAAACACAACCCTCCTCCTCTGCCCCTCACACAGAAGCCAGCAGTGATGGCAGCAGCCTCTGCTGTTCTGCCTTCTCTAGAGCTAAGCCAGAGCTCCCAGGAACCAGACTGTTCCTCCTGCACCTTCCAGGGGCATTCAAACCCCAGCACAGAGCAAAGCTGCTCCCACACCCACCTGAGGCCGAGAAGTACCGGGGCTGTCCCTGGTGAACCCCAAGTGACAAGCTGTCCTCCTCAGTTGCCAGCGGGGCCTCAAGTCCAAGGTGGCGACTGGCCCGGCCCCTCTTCAGCTTCTGGATGGTGTTGCCCATGATGGAGGGGTCGCTGAGGAGGTCTGGCCAGCTCAGCAGGGCCTCACTGGAGGGCCACCTCACGAGGCTGGGGGAACACAGAGGAGTGGGTGCCCCACACAGGGTACATGTGGGGAACAGGAAGCAGGAGAAATGCAACTGCCACAGCGTGAAGGATGGGCTAGAAAGGCAGCAGCTGTGGGAGCACCAGCTCACCCTACCAAAGCAGAAACTAAAGTGCACTCCTGTCTGCTGCAGCCCCAGAAACCTACTTACCTTTTGGAGTCCTCCAAGAACAGATCTGTTTTGGTTTGCTCAGAGAAGGCCTGTGGAGGAAAGGGAGGCAGTTCAGGCCTGACACTGGTTTGCGTCCGGTTTAAACAGCGGGTTGTTAACATCAGGGGTCCCAGGAAACCCGGAGCCTGAGCTGCTGTGAGCCCTGGGCCCACCCCTCCAGGGTCTGCTCTGCTCAGATCTAACGCCCAGGCATGCTGGAGAGATCCATGCTCACAGACATGGAGCAGGAGCTGGAGACAGCCTGTGCTCAGCACCCAGGGCTGGCCTGGAGACCCAGGTGACAGACGAAGGGCTGTGGCTCTCCTGTCACCTGTACAGAGGCACTTCAAGACGTCAGTTCCGGCACTGACAGCTGTGATGGGTGTGGTGGCCCTGCAGGAGAGCACACAGACCCCTACAGCCTGTCCAGCTTTCAGGAGAGAAGCAATTACCTCTGCCCGGAGCCCAGGGAAGGTGGGGAAGGAGCTGTCGAGGATTGAGGAGTCCAGGTAGTTGTCGATTTCCAGGGACTGCTGGTCTGAGTGAGTCAGGGTGTGGTTGATGGAGACCTGAAGGAGACAGGAAAGCTTGAGCAGGAAAGGGGAGACAGGAGGTAACAATGTCACAGTGGCTCCGAGCCCTGCTGCTCCCTTCTCTGCTGGGGAGCTACACGCTTGTGCAGGCAGGGCTGGGGGGTCCCACAGCTGCCCAGCAGGGCTGGGGACAGACCCACTGCCTCCCAGGCACCTTGGCCACTCATACCCACCCACACTACAGACCAGGGCCACCTAGGCTGTCCCATGTACAAGCTCCCTGGAAGTCAAATGAGTTTGCAGCCTCCTGCAGAGCAGGGAGTGCTTGCAGGAACAAGAAATACCCAACACACTTGCTGCTCATCAGTCACTGAGCAGCTGGCTGCAGCACTTAATGAGGCTGCTAATTGAGTCTAACTAGTTGTTAAATCCCCAACAAATCCTTTCACAGCTGCCTAACCACAGCTCTGCTTGGGGAGCTGAATCTGTACCCAGGGTAGGCAGTGCATTAGTAATGCTCCACTGAGCATCTCTCATGCTCCTGGCAAGGCAGCAAAGGGTCAGGGGACCCTGTTCTCAGAGGGACAGGTCACTGCCTGGGCTCTGACCATGCCCAGACCAAAGGGCAGGTTTTAAAAGCTGTTTATTCTCAGGGACAGAAGCTGCTCCCAGCCCCAGAGCAGGCAGAGACTGGCTAAGGGCATGGGTCTGGCCATGGCACAGGGCAGCATGGAGGCACACCCAGGAAAGAGCAGAGATGTCTTGTACCACAAAGGGCAGAGTCCAGCCTCAGATGGGCAAACCTGGTGGCATCGCACCCATCTGAGCAGCCTGCAGCTGCTTCTCCCCATTACCTTGCTACGAGCCATCCGGAAGAGAAATAAGATGACCAGGTAGAGAGGATAGACCACCACGCTGGACACCAGACCAACAGCCACCGTGTCCACATTGACAGGGATCAGGTTGGAGACGGCCCCATTGCTGGAGAGAGATCAGAGACCAGGTTACCAGGAGCATCCAGGGTTGCCAGCTAAGCAAGGGGGGAGACAAAACTGCACAAGCTGGCACTTCAGGTGTGCAGAGAAAGAAAAGGAGCACAGGCTGGGCTCAGGAGACACAGGAGAACCAGGAAAGATGATCAGGTTGACCTTGGTCATCCATTTCCTGAGCCCAGGCTCTTTGGAGCAGACCCAAGCAAGGCAGCTATTCCCAGCAGACGGAAGGTGTGTAATGGGAAGGGCAGGAGGGGCCCCACAGGCCGGGCCAGAGCAGCAAGGGACGCGCACCTGAGGTGTACGTTGCCCACCACGCCGTACCACACGGCGTTGGCACAGAGGAAGAGGAAGATGAGGAGGGAGCAGCAGGTGGCTCTCTGGACGCGGGTGAAGCGGCTGCGAGGCGGGTGGTCCCACAGGGACAGCCAGACGTGCTTCTCAAAGAAGCCCCGCTGCAGCTCTGCTGTGAAGATCCGTGAGAAGCTCCTCAGCTCTGTCTCACCTGAGCACAAAAAGAGAGACCCTCAGGGCCAGCTGCAGAGGGAACACAGCCAGGCCTGTCACCACCCCTCCTGGCAGGATGATGCTCAAGGAACTGTTCACCCCACATCTGCATGGTCCCTCCTGCACAGCTGGGTACTTGCCATGCCTTGTCCTCTGGCACAAAGGACCCAGCAGAGCACCTGGCTGCACAAGGCATCAGTACAGTTAGGAAGAGCAAGTGTCCAGGCTCTGTGGCCTCCCCGCAGCACAGTGAGAACTGTCGTGCTGCTCAGGACCACCCCAGCCCCACACCCCAGGGGCTGAGCACTCACTGGCTGCATAAACCTCTTTCTCCACTAGGCCATCGTTCTCTTCGCTCTCCACCGACAGCCAGTCATTCACCAGGAAGAAGTAGCTCTTGCTGCTCTGTAGGTCCCGGACTATGACATGCTGCAGGTACCAAGATGGGCTGAGTCCTACAAGTTAAGAGATAAAGAAATGTGTTTCATGGCAGAGAGTCCCTGTGTGGACTTGCAAAGCTGAGAGGGCAACCCTAGAGCCCCTCAGTGGGACAGCAACAGTTACCCCGTGACACCATCTCCATTGGTGGGACTTGCACAGTTCCCAAGAGAAAGGCTTGGCACAGCCAAGTCACCTCCTAAGCTGTAGGGTAGATTTAGATTGGATGTTAGGAAGAAAAGCTTTGCTGTGAGGGTGGTGGGACACCCAGGTTGCCCAGAGAAGCTGTGGCTGCCCCATCCCTGGCAGTGTTGAAGGGCAGGTTGGATGGGGCTTGCAGCAACCAGGGCTGGTGGGAGGTGTCCCTGCCCATGGCAGGAGGTTGGAACTGGATGATCTTTAAGGTCCCTTCTCACCCAGACCAGTCTGATTCCACATGGACAGTTACAGATGCTGTCCCAGCGCAGTGCACTGTGCATACAGGAGATCCCAGCTGAGCAGCCTGCAGACCTCCTGGTCACCATGGTCTCCAGCAGGGTCAGCTGAGCCTGGCTCTGCCCGGGGTGTGTGGCTGCTGCCCCAGGCCTGCTCCCCCCTCACCTTTATTGTCGTGCCAGACGCGGATGCGCCAGATGCTGCCCAGGCTCCGCTCCGTCGCGATCTGGAACACGTCCAGGCTGTTGCGGTGGAAGGCGTTCTCTCCATCCAGGTGTCTGTGACCACTTTTATGGTCCACCCCATACAGGGCGATCCCCACGTGTGCCGTGGTGCCTGGCAGAGGTGATGGGGCTTAGTTAGGGAAGCCTAGCCCAGGGGGAGCAGTTTCCCAGTCCTGCCTTCTTGCCAGTGACCTGGTACCAGGTGCAATGGTCCTTCAGAGGGGCCACCTGGAGACTCAGGAGGCAGGAATGTGCTCAACAGCCATCCCGTTCCTAGGGACAGTGGCCTGGAGGACAGCTGCTCACATTGGCCTGGTGCATGGACCTTGGCATGTTCACAGTTTTCCTCTATGGAAGGGACTGAATCAGACATTGCTTGCCTTGCTAACACCCTAACCTGAGATGTTTGTTGTGGGTGGTTTTTTCCCACAAAGTAATTTAAAGACTTGTTTCCTTTGACTTCTGTTTCCAGCTTCCAGCTGCTCCCTGGTCCACCTGCTCAACCTGGATGGTTCTTTGCGTGGTTTCAGGAGAAAGCTGCTGCCAGGGACATCAGTGGTTACACTAAGATCAATGGCAGCATATTTCTGGCAGTGACACAGTGGCAGTCTGTCCTTGCTCAGAGCTTCCACATCCCAACTGCCTGGGCTTCCAAGCCCAGGGTGATGTTTCTGGCAGCTCTAGCTACTAATCCAGCCCTGGATCAGAAATCCAAGCTTTCTGCCTTTATGCTGCTGGGAGAGATTCGGATGGCAAAAGAAACTCATAGATGCTGGAGGACAGCAATATGGTCCATCTAGAGGGCCCACAAGGTCCAGATGCTTCTTCAGGAGAGGATTAGAAGTGAGGAACAAACCCCGACTCTTGGCTATTCCTGCAACCACAGCCCAGTCAGGGAAAGCAGGGTGGGAGTATTTCTGAGCTGGGTGACTCCTTCCAGCAGCAGTTGCTTGTCCCACCCCAAGAGCAGCATGCTCTTCTCCAAGATCTTGACCTGCCCCATCATTGCTAAAAACCAGCCCAGTGAATGCTGTGGAAAGCCCTGAACTGCCTGTCTGCTCAGTGCTGCTCCCAACACCAGCTCAGCTCTGTGCCCTGCTGGGGAGCACTTGGTGCTTGACGTGCCGAGGTGAGATCTCAGGGGAACCACACAGGTGGCAATGTTAGGAATAAAGCACAGGAGGAGAGACAGTGGGCTAACCTGATCCTCTGCCCCAGCCAGTTTTCACCAGGATCTCATATTTGTACAGCCCGTTCTTCCCACAGAAGGGAATCACTCCCACCCGGTTCATGTCGATCATGTCCAGCTTGTGCACGATCAGCGCGGCCACCGAGTAGGTCACAAAGCAGACGGCACAGGTCAGCAGAACGATGTAGTTGAGACCTGGGCCTGGAGCCTAGAAGAAAAGAAGTATGTGGTAAGTAAGGCAGCCTCCTTCCCCAGGAGGATCCTCCCATTCCCCAGGAGTTTCCAAGCCCAGGGTGATGTTTCTGGCAGCTCTAGCTACTAATCCAGCCCTGGATCAGAAATCCAAGCTTTCTGCCTTTATGCTGCTGGGAGAGATTCGGATGGCAAAAGAAACTCATAGATGCTGGAGGACAGCAATATGGTCCATCTAGAGGGCCCACAAGGTCCAGATGCTTCTTCAGGAGAGGATTAGAAGTGAGGAACAAACCCCGACTCTTGGCTATTCCTGCAACCACAGCCCAGTCAGGGAAAGCAGGGTGGGAGTATTTCTGAGCTGGGTGACTCCTTCCAGCAGCAGTTGCTTGTCCCACCCCAAGAGCAGCATGCTCTTCTCCAAGATCTTGACCTGCCCCATCATTGCTAAAAACCAGCCCAGTGAATGCTGTGGAAAGCCCTGAACTGCCTGTCTGCTCAGTGCTGCTCCCAACACCAGCTCAGCTCTGTGCCCTGCTGGGGAGCACTTGGTGCTTGACGTGCCGAGGTGAGATCTCAGGGGAACCACACAGGTGGCAATGTTAGGAATAAAGCACAGGAGGAGAGACAGTGGGCTAACCTGATCCTCTGCCCCAGCCAGTTTTCACCAGGATCTCATATTTGTACAGCCCGTTCTTCCCACAGAAGGGAATCACTCCCACCCGGTTCATGTCGATCATGTCCAGCTTGTGCACGATCAGCGCGGCCACCGAGTAGGTCACAAAGCAGACGGCACAGGTCAGCAGAACGATGTAGTTGAGACCTGGGCCTGGAGCCTAGAAGAAAAGAAGTATGTGGTAAGTAAGGCAGCCTCCTTCCCCAGGAGGATCCTCCCATTCCCCAGGAGTCACGCATGGTGGACCCACCCTTCACAGCCACCCACACCACACACAGGCAGAGCCAGGTCCCAGCACAGCCCCACCGAGCAGCCACAGCAGCTGCTGGAGCTGCTGCTGAGAGCTCCCTGCTCCCAACTACCTCACCCCAAAGGAGCTAGGAAGAGTGTGAACACCCCTGGGAGGACAGAGATGCTGACAGGGGCAATCTCACTGGGATAAACCAGTGCTGGGTGACAGCTGGGAAGAGCCTTGGGCATCTCACTCAGAGGTGAACATGCTGCAAGGTGTCCAGAATCAAGAACAAAGCTGCCAGAAAAGGTCTGCTTCAGCACCAGCAGCCAGGATTCAGGATCAGAGGACATGGTCCCTCTCTGAGCTGTGCCCCAAAGTGCTGTCAGGGCCTTGTGCTGCTCTGGGACTGGGCAGAGGTCACCCATGACCCAGCTGGAACATGAAGCCAACAGAGCCCGAGGCTTCCCTCTAGGTGACAACAATCTGTTCCACGTGTGGCAGTGCTGAACAGCCTGTGCTGTGTTTTACTCACAGGAGAGATGAACTGGACGGAGTTTGGAGGGACAAAGAGACTGGCCCCAAAGGCTGTGAGGTGCTGAGTTAAGCACACAGCCTGGTCTGGCCTGGTCTCTTCCAGTGGGATGATGCCTTCTGTCTTCCAGCGTCTCTCCTGCTCACTGAAGTACTGGCAGAGGGAGGTGTACAGCCCCAGGGTCACCTCCACGGGGGACCAGCTGAAATGGTTTGTGATGTTGATGTAGTAGGTCTGGATGGTGTCATCCGTTCTGGAGAAGGGAAAGGCAGGAAGGAGACACTGTTAACCCCTGCTGGAGGGACCAAGCCCTCTTCTGATGGATGTGTGCCCAGGGAAAGCACCTGCTGCAGGCACGTGAGAAGGAGGAAAAGCCCAGTGAACGTGGTGTAATTGACACCACCCTTTGGCTGTGCTGAAACTCTGGGGTTCCACAGGCCACCTGAGTTCTTTATCTCAGCTCCTGGAGCACTTGTATCCTCTTCTCTGTGCTGGCAGCCTTGCACAGCTCTCCCACCACCCCTCCCCATGTCCCACCAACCCACACATTTCACAGCAACTCTCTGGCTCTGGGCTGGGAGCACATTTTGCTCATTACAACCATTATTCCCTCTTTGAACATCCTGTTACCAAAAGCCATGGAAGCTGCTCTGACTTACACAACAGAAGCTCCACTCTTGCCCCACCTATTCCCAAGCTGCCTTTTCTTCTCAGATAATGCCCAGGAATGGCTTGTAAATAACAATCAGCTCCCGGGCCAGGCAGCAACTGAAGTTACAAGAACAACTGCTCTGATAAAAATAAGAGAGCTTTGCTGCAAAACCCCAGAGCCCAGCAGCAGCACAGGCCATGCTGCAGGCAGGCAGTGTGGACAGAAGCCCACGAGGAGAGCTGTCTCCTCTGAGGCAGAGGAGCCCTGTGGAGAGCTACAGCAGCACCAGCCCTGCAGAGCAGCCTGGCAACAGCCACAGCAAAGCCCTGAGCATCCCCCCACGTCCAGCCATGGGACAGCATGGGGGTGACAGGGATGACAAAGGAGGCTTCTCTTACCTGGGTGAGGTGAAGAAGGTGTAGAGCTTGTGGTCACTTCCAGCCAGGGCGTCCAGGCTGATTTTCTTGGCAGCAGTACAGTTGTGCTCATTGGGCTCTGGCTGGTGATGGAGATAAGCCATGATGAAGGGCTCAGGCTCACTGGCAATGTAGTGATCTGTGTGGGGAGGGGGAGGAAAAACAGAACGTATGCTATGAACTCCAGGGAAGGTTGGAGCACAGCTGTGCATGTTCAGGGAGGAGTACCAGGAACACAGAAAGTCAGGAGAGATGGTTTTCCAGACTACACTCCCTCCATTTGCAGCTCAGAAGATCCTTGAGCAAGAGGCTCTGTTTACCACTGTAGCTGAGCAAGAGGGAGATAGGACAAACCCCCACCAGTGCTAATGTGGCTCAGCAGGGCTGGGAAAAGCAAAAGGCTTCTCAGTGGCAAAATCCAGAAGCAAGGATTACACTGGGGATCAGATAATGCCCATGACAGGAAGAACCTCAGCCATGCAGTGTGGAACTCACTGGCTACACTGGATACCCCCTCCCACACCAGCTTTCCCTTGACACAGCACCCAGCCCTCCTCTCCCATGGGCAGGAACAGCAAAGAGCAGAAAGAGCTGGATCTGTCTGCGCTACCGTTCAGGACTCTGTAAGTGAGCTGGAAGTGCAGTCCTGCTTCTCTGTTGTTGCTCTCCATTGTCACAATGAGGCTCACAGATGTTCTTGGCTCAATGACTTCAGTGCCAGCAGTGAGATTGTCAGCATCTGTGCTGTTGGACACCATGACTGTGATGGCTTTCTCTGAGTCCAGGCTCCCAATGGGGATCTGCACCCCGGCGTGTGTCTGGAACTCCATGGAGGCCACCTTTGTGGACACAGTGTAGTTGCTGATGTAACCAAAAGGGAAAGGATTGGAGTCCACCTGGAACATAACCTGAATGACATCTGTCAGGTTGGACAGGGTGGTGTTGAACGCCTGGGGGATGGAGAACTGGCAGTTTGGTGTGTTCTCGTAGCAAAGCAAGTTGAAGGGATCAGACCGCTTGCCCATGGCCTTAATTTCTCCTCCCACCAGCTCAAGGGGCTCTTCATTCAGCACTCGAGACTTCATGAGGATGCGCATCAGGCTGGAAGACAGGTTGTAGGCTTTGGGGGCCAGCAGCAAGTTGTGGGAATCAGCCAGCATCTCCTGGGGCTTGGGTTCTTGTGAAGCTGAATTGACCAGGTGAATTAGGTCACCTGCCAAGAGAGAAATAAAGGTGAAAAGAGAGGACGTGGTAAATAGTCTAGATAACTGCTGCAGTCTAGATAACATCTGACACCTTCCCAAAACAATCAGACAAGTCTTTCCTTACTGCCTTCTCACTGTAACTCTACACTGTGCACATGACCTCCTGCACTGCAGGTGTTCAGTAGCCCACCAGTAGCCCACAGCTAAAACCAGAGCTGTCAGCAACTCCTGCAGCTCTCACCTAATCTACAGACCTTGGTGGTGAAAACTGAATTACAACAGGAACCAGGTTCCTGTAGGAACCAGGCTGACCTGTGATGTTGAGGATGTTGTCAGCGATCCCAGTTGGTGTCACAGTGCCCTGGGTTGTTTCCCCTTGCAGAATGGTCATCATGGTCTCCAGCTTGTTCAAGGTCCTTGTCAGGCATGACTTGCAAACCAGCTCCTTGCTCACCACCTGCAAAGGGAAAGACCAAGGCAAGTTGAGCTGACTCAGTCCTGAGAAGACCTCAGCACATTTGTTCAAACACCATTTGCACCCTGAGAGTCACCCCAGCTCCTTCCAGCACCAGGGAGGTAACTGCTGAGACCATGGCTGCTCTGCTCACACTGAGGGATGCCAAGAAGTTGTGAGGGTCTTCAAGACTCTTCCATGCTCCTCTCCTCCTGTTACAACCTGCCAGCACACAGGCAGGCAGGCTGGGGGTCTCATGGAGGAGGCTTTAGGGCTGGAAGAGCAATTAAGGGCCCCATGTTCATGTTCCCTGAAATTCACTTGCAAGGCTCAAGCATGTCTCCAGCTGGTGCATCTCATGAGCACCCTTTTGGGGCCACACACTATTCCTACAGATATCAACCAGAAGGAGCTGGACAGGATCCCTCCATCCACTCTGCTGTCTTCAGTGGAAGCAAGATTTAGCCCTCATTGAATCCATCTCAGTGTCCAAATACTCCTGAAAGCTGTGGGAGGGATCCTGCCACTCAGGCATGATGGATGCCCCTCCCTCTGCTCCCAGATGTGTCCAAGAAACAGAATGTTCTAGCCATGGCCTGGAGCTCCCTGCACTCTCAAGGGCTGGATGGGAGGGACTGAGGCAACACATGGAAGCTGTTACCACGACCCCATTCCTAGCTCTTATTAATCTTTTTTTTTTCTTTTAATCATCATAGGATTCAGACATGATTCACCATATGTTTTGGTGAAGAATCAAAACAGCATCTGCAGGTCAAGCATTCCCCCTGTTCTGCTGTTATTGGTACGTGATGAGAAGTGAGGACATTGGGGTCCAGGAGGCAGTCAGGTACCAAGGAGGTGGGGAAGAAAAAGGCTGATTGGGAGGAACCACCCAAGGAGCTACTGTTGCGGAAAGAGAACCTGGTAAGAGGACTGGGATGTGCTTTTTTTCCCCTACAGGAAAAATTCCTTCTGAATTTTCCTCTCCCCTGTAGGTAAAATCAAAAAAGTATCAGCACTGCTCGATAGGAAATGAAATGTGCAAACTCTGTGCTGGCCTCGGCCACTTGAGAAATTCTAGATTACTGTTTTCCTAAGCTTTTCATTCCAATCCAGAGCATGGACTAATCCTGGAACGTCAGCTCTTCCCGTGGAACAAAAATTCTATTTCTAGACCAAAGCTTCCCCAGCAAGATCAAATCACAGGGCAAAAGCCCATGGGAAACAGAGAAAAAAACACCCCAGCAGGATGTGCTGAACCCCTAATCCCTGAGGAAAGATGTGATTTTTGAGCTTTGCAGACTCTGAAGCAGAGAAAGGAGCAGCAGAACAGGGAGTCTGTGGGTGGGACACAGTCTGTCCATCATTCCCAGGACAGCCTACTCCCACCCAGAAGGGCTGCAGACCTGGCTGGGCAGGCGAGGGGCAGCCAGGGTGGTACCTGACTCCAGCCTGACAGCAAAGATCCAGGAGGAAGAGCTTGCCAAAGAGAACTGGCACCCACTAGACCCAGGCAGGTTACACAGCTGGGCTCTGGTCACCTTGCCCATCTGACAGAACACATTTGGCCACTCCTGAACCCATGGGCAGCAGCCCCAGCACCAGGGAGCTGGAATGTTTACCCAGCAATTGCATGGAAGTGAATCCCAGATGGGTCTGGATGCAAAGGGACCTTAATGATCACCCAGTCCCAACCCATCTCTCCCAGCAGTCCAGGTTGCTCCAAGCCCCATCCAACCTGCCCTTCAACACTGCCAGGGATGGGGCAGCCACAGCTTCTCTGGGCAACCTGTTCCCCTGTCTCACCACCCTCACAGCAAAGAATTTCTTCCTAATAACTAATCTAAATCTACCCTCTTTTTATTTACTTTATGCTTTATTATTTTCTTATTCCAGTCAGGGAAGCAGAGCAAGGACAAAAGAGCCCCTAAGCTGCACGTGGAAGAGCAGGAGGCTGGAGGAGGTGCTGGGGAACCTACCGTGCACTGGGCCAAGGCAGCAGAGATCTGCTGGATGTCATCAACTGTGTTCACCTTCAGAGAGTTCAGGGTTTCCGTGATGTTGTTGCGAGTCCAGATCCGGAGTTCGAATTCATTCCCAGTCTCAGGTTCCAGAAGCATGGAGCGCTCATACTGGGGGGATAAAATCAGGTGGAGTGAGGAAATGTGTTATTTCAGAGGACGATGAGCTGTGCTGAAGTCACCTCCTCCCTGTGCTCTCTATCTCCCTGCCTCTGCTCTTCCCTGGGGGAGGATCTAATGAGCTGTTTTTTCTGCAGAACTGCCTCAATTTCACTTTTGCTCTCCAAGTAATTATCTTAACAGCCTCCCACTTGACAGCTAAGTAGCCCACCAGCGTGTAGTTCTTACCCAGCTAAGCACAGTCCTGTGCACGGGGGATTGTTCCTGCCTGGCTTCCAGGCCTGCCAGAAGCTCATCTGGGGAAGGAAAGTGTGAGCATAGCCTGAAACCTCTGCCCTGCCTGTGCGGGTGCAGGCAGAGGGACTGGGCCCTAGGTAGGCATGGAAGTGAATGCTGTCAGGAGGATGCTGCGCCTGCTCTGTGGATTACAAGCTTGGCAGGCAGGCAGAAGATCTTTCCAGCTGAAACAAGGAGGTCCCTTAGCACCCAGAGCATCACCTGAGCAGCTACAGAGTTTCCAGCGCTGCTGAAATGGATCAGGGGAAGCACGAAGGAAGCAGGAGAATTTAGGATAAGATTTCTGGTTCTAAAAGGAGTGTTTAGACTTGAGGCTGACAGTAAGGAGTAAAAACTACCTGATCTTCTGGGCAAAAAAGCAGGGTGCATGGGAGACACCCAGCCACTGCCTCCTCTGGGACCTCTGCTTTATTTTGCATCCCCTCTGCCTTCTCTGGTCATTCTGCCTCTGGAGCTTGTTACCCTTTTTGATGCATGAAAACAGCTCCAGCCCCGCTCCCAGCGTGTACATACAGTGACTTACATGAAGAACTGCAGCATCAGTCATTTCCCTA